GAACCTACTGATCAGAGGGAGAGGCGGCTGCTGACGCGGAGGCTGGGGCAGCGGCGATGGCGCCCCTCCCTGAAGAGGTGGACGTGTTCACCGCCCCGCACTGGCGGATGAAGCAGCTGGTGGGGCTATCCTGCGACAAGCTTTCTAAAACCAACTTTTCCAACAACAACGATTTCCGTGCTCTCCTGCAGTCAGGGAAGCACCAAATGGTCTCAGCTGGCGAAGACTGGATCGCTTTGGAAGCGTCTTTACCCTGTTCACGGGGTCGGAGGTGACTGGTATCGTGGCCCTGCAACTGGACTTGATACTGCACCTGATGAGGATGGGTGAAAGTGGAAAGGATGAAAGTCGTGCTTTTCGGGAATGATGCGAAGATGCCGATATAGATGAATCTGAAGAGTCTGCAGAGGAATCGATTGCTATCAGCATTGCACAAGCAGAAAAACGTTTACTCCATGGCTTCATTCATAATGTTCTGCCATATGTTGGTACTTCTGTAAAAACTCTAGTATTGGCATACAGCTCTGCAGTTTCCCGCAAAACGGTGAGGCAGATTTTAGAGCTCTGTCCTAAGCTGGAGCATCTGGATATGAAAAAAATCACAGAGGTGGCTCTAGAGAAGATTTCTAGAGCTCTTGGAATTCTGACATCTCATCAGAATGACCTTTTGTCTACAAGCAAAATTACTTCGACTACATGGAAAAATAAAGACATTAACATGCAGTCCACCAAACAGTATGCTTGTTTGCAAGATTTAACTAACAAGGCTATTGGAGAGGAAATAGATCATGAAAACCCCTGGACTAAGCCTGTATCTTCTGAGAATTTCCCTTCTCCTTATGTGTGGATGTGTGTATCACAGGCTGAAGACCTGGCCGATATTGAAGATGCTTGGAATGGAGACAGAAATGTGGAAAGTCTTTGTGTAATGGAGACAGCATCCACCTTGAGTTGTTCCTCCTCTGGCTGTTACAGTAAAGATGTTGTTGGACTAAGAACTAGTGTCTGTTGGCAGCAGCGTTGTGCTTCTCCAGCCTTTGCACACTGTGGTCATTCACTTTGTTGTACAGGGACAGCTCTAAGAACTACGTCAGCACTCCCGGAGTCTTCTGCATTGTGTGGGAAGGCACCAAGGACTAGCTTGCTTAGGGAAAAGGACTTAATCTACTCTGGGAGTGAAAAATCTGATCGAGAGACTGGACGTGTACTTCTGTTTCTCAGCCTGTCTGGGTGGTATCAGATCACAGACCACGGTCTCAGGGTTTTGACTCTGGGAGGAGGGCTGCCTGATTTGGAGCATCTAAATCTCTCTGGTTGTCTTACTGTAACTGGTGCAGGCCTGCAGGATTTGGTTTCAGCATGTCCTCCTCTAAATGATGAATACTTTCACTACTGTGACAACATTAACGGTCCTCATGCTGATACCGCCAGCGGATGCCAGAATTTGCCGTGTGGTTTTCGAGTCTGCTGCCGCTCTGGGAAATGACCCTTGACTTCCAACCTTTGTCTACTTCATTTAGCTGAGCCCTTCACTTGTAGCACATTTCTTGTGTTAACCATACTTTTTGAGTGTGACTTGTTTTGGCCACATCCTTACAGCCTCAGAAATCTTAAAATTTACCAGTGAATTGTACAGTGTTGTTTCTCTTGCAAATCATATTTTTGTTTTAGAAAGGGATTAGGTCTTTTCATGACGATGAGAACAGTTTTATCAGATTTCATTTAAATTGAATGCTTGGAAAATAATGTCCCTAATGCCTTGCTATTCAAAGTATTTTTTTAGATTATTTTGAGTTTCAAAGTCAGTGGGGGTTATTGGTTCTCTTTCTATGTAAACACTGTACCAAGCTTTGCTGATCTTTCAAACATACACTTCTGAAGTTTTATTTTCAAAGACAGCACTTTTTGGAAACCAACCTGTTTTCCATAATGTTTCCTTTATTTGAACAATTCTTGGAAGGCCAATTCAAACATACCCACATATAAGTTTCTTAAGTTTATAGAATAAATTGGCTTCTTGGCAGTTGCTCAGTGAGCTAGCAAAGCACCAATTTATTTGTATTTGCTTTCTTCAAAGAACCCCAGTGTCCACCACTGTTCCTAAATTGTCAAATTTGGGAGGGATTTTTAAAAATTCTACAATCATTTGAAGAAATGTATAAATAAAATCTACTTTGAGGACTTTAAAAATAAATAAAAAATAAACTACCGGTCAGAGCATCTGCCCCCTGGTGATCAGTGTGGTTGAGCGGCCTTAGCATATCATTAGCATATTATGCTTTCATTGGTTGAATGGACGACCGGATGAACAGACACTTAGCATATTAGGCTTTTATTATATAGGATACACCAATAAAGAGACCTGAAGCCTACCCCCTGCAACCCCAGTAAGTCCAGAACCCCAGGCGTTGGTGCTCATGCTGTCCCCGCCACCTTGCCGTGGGCTCCAGTTGTGGATTTCCAGGTTCTGTAGGTAATAAACCGTTATCCTCGCTAAGTTTCCTGATAATTATGGCTGAAGAGCATCTTGCAAACATAGTAAGAACCAAAAAGAGGTCCAACCACAACACTGGTTGTTGACAGGGAGACCAGCACAAAACAAGCACCTACTATTTGCCAGGCACTGTTCTAGGTGTTAGGGACACAAGTAACAAGACAGTAAGGCTCCCGGCTATAGAAAGCTGACCATTTAGTGAGGTGAGTAGATAATAAACAAGTAAAAATATAAGCCAGATCATTTCAGACACTGATCACTGCGCTGCAGAAATCAAACATGCTGGGATAGGCTGGCTCTATGTATCTTTATCACCTTAATTGCTGCATGTCCCCCACCACAGGCCTTGGCGCATGCTAGTCCCTCTCTCAGAACGCTCTCCTCTCCTTTCTTAACCTGGTTAGTGACCACTTCTCCTTTCCTGACTTTCTTGACTGGCCCCACTCCCCCACCACAGTTCCCGGAACAGTATCACCCATCTCTCTTTGGTATTAATCCAACCGCCATGCTGGGTTACCTAGGTCTTCTCTAAAGCGATGTCCCAGGGGGTCAGGGCCATGCCTCCTGCTCAGGCGGCCCCCGGGGGTTAGGGGAGTTGGTGCTGAACAGTTTGAATGTATGAGTGAAGCAGACTTAAAGCCGACATCACAGTTCCTTGAGATTTCCCATCAGCCTCTGGCGTAGGAAGCATCTCCAGGGGAGGGTGTGCCACCCTAGACCTTGCCTCACACCAACCCCCTCCCTCAATTCCAGGCCTTCACTCCTAAATCCAATTATGTTGCAACCGGGGATTGTTTCTTCTATAGCCTTTCTCATCGCCCAGGGCTGTCCTCAACACAAAAGCATCCCCTGCCTGGCTGAGGGCCCCTGGGGACCCTGCCTCCTGCTCCTCTGGACTAGCCCCCTCCCTCCCCACTCAGGGAGCGGCTGATTGGCCCAGCCCAGGGGGCGCCGTTTCCACGGGGAAGAGGCACTGAGGACCCAGCTCACTGCCCTCTGGAAGGGCGAGGCTTCTGGGGCCAGGTGAGCACTAAGGGAGCTGGGATCTGTGGGAGCCTGTGTGCCTTCCTTGGGGTTGTTTTATTTTGTTTTAATATATTTTTATTGATTTCAGAGATGAAGGGAGAAGGGGAGAATCATCGATTGGTTGCCTCTTGCACCCCCGCCCACTGGGGACCAAGCCCGAAACCCGGACATGTGTCCTTGACTGGAATCAAACCTGGGACCCTTCAGTCCACAGGTCGACACTCTATCCACTGAGCAAACCAGCCAGGGCTTTCCTGAGGTTTTAAGGTCATTCCTGGGGGGTGGGCGCCCTCTGTTGGCAGGTGGCGGGACTTGCCCGGTGGGACCTGGGTGCTGCTCTCATCTGGGCAGGTGGGGCCACCAGAGCCACAGTTGGGCCAGGGTGACCCTATCCAGGGCCTTCTCCACGGCCCTGCGGAGGGGCCTGCTGCTGACACGGTGGCTGTGGGATCCAGAGACTGACGACCTCAGGAAATGACTTGTCTCAATTGACACACACACAGGGTTAAAATATCCATTCATTTCCTCCTTCAAACACAGAAAAAAGAGAACTAAAATGTTTACAGAGAATCAGCCCCACAGCAAGGCACTGGGACTTGGTGCTGCAAAGCCCACGCGCGGCAGTGCCGGGAGATGGCGAGGGCGCGGGCAAGGCAGATGGAGGAGCGTCTCCTCCGGGAAGGGTCTGAGTCTCCCGCCAGCGCCAGCGGGGAGAGCTGGGCAGGCAGCGGGGCCTGGGAGTCCCGCACACTGGTCACTGGTCGGGGCTCCTCGCCTGGAGTTGGACCCACCCCTTGCTATTCAACTTCCCTGGAACTGGGAAGTGGGCCAATCAAATCCCCGAGTTTATTACCAGCCCCAGAGGCCCGTTCAGGGTGCGGGGTGGTTTCTGACTTCACTTGCGTCTCTAAATGCCTGCTTCTGTAGGGCGGAGGGCGGAGGGCGGAGGGCGGAGGCCGGAGGCTCCAGCAGGGCATGGACGGAATGGTTGACTGCCTTCCCCACCACCCCCCGCCTGGTGCACCTCCCGAGGGGGTCAGGGGCGCGGGTGTGGACCTGGGTGCTGTGCAGAGCCTGCCATCACCTGGTCATGGGAAAACTCCCCAAGTCTGTTTTTCCATTTGTAAAGGGAACTAAGGGTTAGTATGAGAATCCAGTAAAGCAATAAACATTAGATGCAAACATCTCTTTAAAGCTGCCGGGTTGACCTAAGGGTCATTAAAGGACACCTAGAAAGCAGGGTGCCCAGGGGGATCGCTGGGGAAGATGCTGTGTCCTTTTTCTTTTAAATCCTCACCTGAGGAGATGTTTATTGATATGAGAGAGAAGGGCTAAGAGGGAGGGAGAACCATCGTTCCATTGCCTCCAGTTTGCACCCCGACCCATTGACCGAACGGGGATCAAACCTACAACCAAGGTTTGCTCCCTGATCGGGAATCGAACTGGCAACCTTTTGGTGCAGGGGACGGCGGCCTGAGTAACTGAGCCACCCGCCAGGGCAAGAAGCCGAGTCCTTTCAGAAACTGTCTGGAGTACTGTGTTCCAGGAGCCCCAAACCCAGGCCTGGCCTCACACACACACAAAAAACTGATCGTTCTCCGACTGGCTACTCTGCGGATCCCTCTCGGTGGGGAGAAGGGAGCATGTGACTGTGGGAACCATGGGGGGGGGGGGGGGTCCAGCCCAGGGCGTAAAGGCAAATTCTCACAGAAGGAAGAGCCCATTAGCAACTCTCTGATCTACATGTGTGTGGTCAATAGCTTTCCAGTTAACGGCCCGAATATACGTGTCAACCATGAATGTACACGCTGTCAATTTCTACGTCATGAGATAGATGATATGAAATTAAAGAATACTCATGGAAACAAAGTCTTTGTTTATTATTGCTATAATCAAGGCAAAAATCTCTTAAAACAATTAGCCTTGATAATGGAAATATAATTGGAACCATTATTCATGAATTTACAGTTTGATCTTCTCTGCTGCTCAGACCAGTTTCACAAATACTACCTCCCATAAACCTTCGTTACACAAGAGGATGAGAGAACATGGAAGCCACAGAGCACAGCATGGCCCCTTCTTAGATCCAACTTCAGACCAACCATTTGCTCACTGTGAACCTGTTTCATCCTGTGTTCAAAACACTGGAGAGAAAGGCGGAGAATGACCCGCCCCTCAGAGGGTCCGCTGGGACAGCACGGTGAGAACCACCCTGTAACTTCCAAACCCCACAAAAGGAACATCGCTCACACTGGTGCCTAGAGCCCTGGGAGGGGCAGCGTCCTTCTCCAGTCCATGTTCCTGGCAGCCACGTGACAGACCCTGAGCGTGAAATCCTGGGCAGGGCAAAGGGTACTCATGACCGAGCTCCACGCTCACTAAGCAGGGACCTGGCTCCAAGAGCCACGCAAAATGGACCCCGCTTTACCCTAGAAAGACTTTGTCCGGTTTATTTTATCTTAATTTACATCTGTACAGGCAATAATAAAAAGGCTATTTATTATATAACAATTCAGTGATTTTTACCTAGTTTCAAGAATAATGCATGCAATTACAAATGAGAGGTAGAAACACTGTATTAAAGACCTAAGAATACAAACATCATATAAATAAGTGTTCAAATTAACTGCTGGAATTTCATACAGATAAATAAGGTAAATTACATTACTTGGTCAAAATAAAGGGAAGCCTTGTTTATGTTTTTATCATGTCACTAAATTAGATTAATGCTAAAGAGCTTCTGTGCAATTTCTCAGTTCAAATTTATTATCTAAAAGGATTAAAATAAAAGGATTAAAACTGGAGAGTGGTTTATTCAAGTATTCAAGCAGGTAAATAAAAGAAACCAAATAATGTACAAGGTAGGAACCATTTCTGGAGGGATGTTAACTGCCCACCTTCTCCATAACCAGCTATTTGGTAAACTGTCAGGATTAACATGAAAAACACGTATTAGTCTACAGAGCTGCTGC